AGCATTATGTCATTTTCATTTCTGTGAATAACAAGTGAATGTTCAACTGAATAGATAAAATGAGCTAGAAAAGGAGTGAAAAGGAAGTCGATAATGAATGATAGAAAACTGTTGAGTTGCTTTCAAAATGACAGTCAATGTGAAGAAGGAGGAGGGAGGGTGTGTTGATAATTGGCATGTCGAAGAGAGATATTAGCGAGAAAACACTCATAAGAAATGAATGCAGATACACTTGGCAGTGTAAAGGGTCCATTAACCCTCTGGCAATCTTTGATATACTGCATGTAAACTGCAACAAGGCGAGAAAGCCAAGAAGGACAACCGACACTCGTTTGTCAGAGAACTGCCACTTCGATTGCCACGATTAATCTTAAATTCTTAAATATCTTGTACTGTCCAACTTCTTGGAAGTAAAGTGGCGCCTTGAGTGTCTGCTTGTTCTGTTGCTGACGTGCAAATCGTTTCATGTTGCATTTTAATCGATCTCAATACCATGGTTATAAAAAAAATTTTTCAGATAAAAGATTTTGTTTATAAAACTCAGTCAACTTTACACACACATGACATGATTATAAATTTTTTGTTTATCAGTTTTATTTTTATAACATGTCCATTAAAAAAGCTTAGCTTGTATTTTTAATTTTTATGCTTCTCTTTGAACTACATCATCAACAGTAGACGTTTATAAAAAATAAAAAAAAAATATATAAACATTATTGAAGAATTTTTTTACTGTCATTTTTTTTTCTCATTGTTGAATTTTTTAAAAATATTTTTCGAAGAAATCCGAGGCCAACGAGTCGTGAATTTGATAAATTTCATCCTTATGTAGACATAAATTCAAGTAGTTTGACAAGAATCAATGATACAAAAAAAAAATTGCACAGTTTATTAATCTCATTATTATTTTTACTAGGAAAGATATTAACTAAATTCATCACATAAATTCCATCAGCTGAAGGTTCTGATTGCTGAGCTATAATTATTGTATGACCTTTATTCAACAAATTAATTTATTCCTGGTAAAAATTTTTTCAACCAAAAATAGACTTCTTTTTCTTGAAATATATTATAAACATCAATTTGTATTATAATCTTCTTCTGATAGTGTTTTTTAAGCACGTTAAAATGTGAATATATTTCTTGGCATAGTTGACAAGTTGAGTAGGAAAAAAGAGAAAGAGTGAATGGATTGGCATATCGACAGTGTCCTTTGGATAACATCCAGGCTACCAATTCCACCTAATATTTATAATTATGCCATTCATTTCCTGGATTGGATATTTTTTTTTTTTGTTTCATCTTGTCGTCTTATCTTGCTTGGTAAAATTGATGCTCACCGTCTAGTCCATTAACTTTTTGGTCCACATTATATCCTTGTTCAGTTACAGATGTTTTATTATTATAATTATATTAAATCTCTGATTGACGTGTCTTTTATATGACACATGCTCTAGATGTATGATTAATAAAGATTCATTTGAATTATCTTGAATAATGTTGGTATACAAATATTATTATAGCTTCCTCTTTACTTGTAATCTAGCTTTTTGTATTTTCTATTTAAACTCGTTACCTCTTCAGCTTTTATGATGACACATCGTCACCGCCTTGTCGGCAAGAATTTGAATGGCTTTTCCAAGAACACCATGTTATACTCCTTCATGTCGTCTTGGTCTTTTTATTTGAGTCATTTTATGATTCTTGAGCTTATAGATGTCGTTCATGGAGACAAAGAGTCTTTTTTCATGTATGAGTACAACTTAACTATTGCTATTATCACTTCGAGTATGTTCGCTCGAGATTTCGTAATGTCTTACTAACCGGATGTAGACATGTAATGTTAAACTATCGAGTCTAAAACCACAACTTTTTTTTTCTTTTTAGGCTTGATGTGTTGTAAAAAAAAAATTGTGATCAATGAAGTGAATAAAATTATTTTAAGAACTTTTTAATTGCATCATGATTTATAGGTCTTAGGTTTTTAATTGCATTATGATTTTTCAATTATTATTTTATGTTACATAGAATGACAGTTTCATGTATTAGATACATAATAATGTGAGTAATAATAATTAAAAAATATATTTTTTACTAATTTCATGTGTATAAAAAGATAAATAAATAATATTCTATATTTTTCGTTAAAAAAATAAACAATTAATCATTGAATTGGCGCACTTTTGCTTTTAGGCACATTTTTTCTTTCGATTATTGCAAGTATTTTAATATTTTAATGATTTTTAATTAATTAAAAAAAAAAACCTTTTTTTCAAAATATTTTTGTTTTAATTTTATTTTTATTATTAAAGTAGATAAAAATCCTGTTTGAAGTTATTCTTGAAGCATGATTTACAATTCCTTTCTAAATTTGAAACATTTAAATAAACATCTTAACGATAAAATGTCAAATTAAAGATTTATTTTTATTTATAATTAAAAAATCTTTAAAAAAAAAAAAATCTTTGATTTATAATAACAAATTTTACATTAAAAATACATTTATTTTAAAATTTAAATATCTGTGGTAATGATAATTACTATTAAAGAATAATTATTATCTTAATAAATTGAATTCAATGACAAGTTATTAAATCTTTACGACTTGGAGTAATTAGATTCATCAAAATCCCTGCAATGTACATAATTACATTTCGAATAAAAAAATTTTAATATTTTATTTTTACAAAATATTTACATTTTTCACTGTCAATTTAAATGAGCTTAATAATAATAATAATTAATTTTTTTAAATAATTATGAAAACTCTAGGGTTTGGATAATTAATTAATTGGTTGAAGGATTAGTAGAGACCTTGATAAAATAGGTGAAAATTAAAAAAAAAAAAAAACTATTTAATTGCTTCATTGACCACAAAATTTAGTCATTATGTTAATTGAACCGAGTTATTGAAGTAATTAAAAAGGAAGAAAATGTAATAAAAAGAAGTATTATGTAAAAATCTTAAGATTTATGGAATTGATGTTAAATAATTGACGAAATCGAATGCGTAAGTTTGGAGTCGATAATCTGGGAAAAAAGGTTTGCCATGGGCGGCTTATGTTCATACCCAAACGCATTCCTCGTGACTCGTTTTACCTGTTAATTTAATATCTGCCCTATAGCAAAACCGACGAAGACAAAACACGTCGGTGCAATAAGCCGCGTATAGTTAGTTGATAAACGCATGCACGCATGTCTTGTATTTTTGGTATGCACGCATGAGATAATTTACTTGCGACATCATAACGGTATAAGTTAATATACACACAGTGTAATGTCATTCATAATCTATATTGCTCCGTGTCAAATCCAATTCGTAACACGCAACTTCCTTATAATATACTGCACTTAATAATCCCCCTTTCCTCTTTTCGAATTAGCATTTACTTAACTGTATAACATTATAACATAACATGAGATTGTTTATTGAAAGTTCATTTTCCGCGGTTGGTATCATTTTGAGATAAACTCTAGAATTTTTTTTTTTAAATGAATTTTTACAATCTTTTACAAAATTTAAATTAAATTTAAATCTTTTCCAAAAATTGATTAACTTTCTTCTTAAATATGTGAGTGTATTTTGTTCCTTTTATTGGGTTATTAAAAAATGAATTGTTGTAACACATTTGAGGAAGATTTTATTGGTGTACTTTATTGAAAATAATTGAAAGTAAAATGTTATGATAAAAATTATAAAAAATTTCTTGATTATTATCCTCAATAATTTTTATTTTATATTTTCTAAAGAAGTCCTGAAGTATAAAAATTTTTTATTTTCATGATTTAGTTATTTTTTATTGAATATTATAAATAACAATGTGTTATTTATAAACAATGAATAATTTAAATTTCAATTATCCATCAATGAAAGTAATGCAACTCTAATAACTAACAATTCTTGTATTGTATTTATTTTGTATATTTTTGAATACGATGCTTATTTTTTGTTTTAATTGCTTTTGTTATTAAAAAAAAATACGGCGTAATTCGATAGATAATCCTTTTCATGTGATTGCATTTGATCAAGTTTTTATTTTTTATCAGACATTTTTTATTTGGAACAGTAGTTATTATTTTTTTCGTGTTTAAAAAATATATTATTACTTATAATAAAGAAGCTGATATATAGCTTTAACAATAATAACCTTTCTATTATTAAAATTTACTTTGCATTTTTTATAATTTAATCATTAAAAAAATAAATCTGAGCCTCTAAATTATTTTAATATTATAAATTCTAATAACGTTGAATAATATTTTTTTTTTTGCTATAAATAATGTCATTTCGAATCAATAAAATAATATTGTGAGCATTTAATTTTCACTAATAATATTTTTATTAAAAAGAAAATATTTTTGAAAGTTTTAAAATAAACAAACAATACAAAACTCAATACTCATACTACTCCAACACAAAACATTTCACCTATTCTCCAAGTTAGAAAAATAAAAAAAAAAAACATTTTTTTTATTACCTAAGATGTTAGACGAGAATTTAATATAATCACCAGTCTTTCACTAGCTCTCAATCAAATTAATCTCTCTCTAAATTAAAGACTCAATATAAATCCAATTTCCATTTTCTCCCAATCAATAACCAAAGTTTTTCTAAGCATTCATCAAAGCATGTATTCAAAAAATAATTCTTCATTAAAATCTCTCTTTTCTAAAAACATCTTTCATCTTCCAGTCACAATAGAGAATAGAATTTTGATGATGTTAGAAATGGAAAGAAATTGAAAGGAGTTAACAAAAAAAATGAGCGATTCGGGGCGCACGGCGCCTTGACAGAAGTGAGTAAAGGCAACAGCAGCAGCACCAGCAGCACCAGCAGCAATACACATCAACTTCGGCTGGGTTCGGTTGTTGGTCGTCTTGGTGGGGTTATCGTTGTCGTTGATTCTCGTGTGGCTCTATCGGTCTTCGTTGCGCCTACGGGTCTGAGTAGCACGGGACCTCGAGGAGAGCCGGCTGGGTGGGCGGCAGTTGTCCAGGCGGCCGCAGTCTGCGGCGGGGCGACGTGGTCTACACGGCGGAGCGACACCGCGTCCTCGCCATATGCGTGTTTCTTGCCCCGGGAACAGTAATTTCCAAGTTCTTGCGGGATGTCTATTGACGTGCGTTCAATCAAAATCATTATTCGTTTATTTAAACTGACATTTAACCACGTGTGAGAAGCAACAATTATATGTTACACATTCGTGTTATTGGAAGAGTAGTGTACTCTTGCATAAAATCAGTGACGCGCCTCGTGGCTCTTTCGCCAGTGTGATGAAAATACCTGGCGGCTGACGAAGAAGAGAAATAACTTTCTCTCTCTCTGATATTCTCAACACGTTCATCCACCTCGTGATTCTCTGACAACGTGGTCGTCGTTCTCACGCGGGTGTCAGTGACTCTCGCCTTATCTCTTTAAAACCCCTTGATCACACTAAACTTACGGTGTGATGATAAGTTATTGAAGCATCAAAGTGGAGTAAATATCTCTACCAAGACTAAGGAATTATTTAATTCTGCGTGCAGGGTTGCATGAAACAACTTTGCAAAACGGGGGCGTGTCTGACAGTTCGATCGTCCGCGTGACTCACTCGACTTGGCCTTCGTGTTTTGTTTTGAGCTGCTCTCGAGACCGGTGAGAGAACAAGAAAGAGAAAGATTCTGCTTACCTGAGTATTTTACCTGGTCACCAGTGCAACAATCCAAGGGCTTTCTTATTCTGGATTTATATCGTTTATGTGTATATATAACTCCCTTTTGCCGGCTGCACACTAAATAATCGCCGACTGTGTTCTCCCTTTCTTCAAACCTCCACGCACCTGTGTGTCATTTGGAAGAAATTAAGTTAATTTAATAAGAATAAAAAAAAAAGGTATCACCAAGGAATTCTTCCTTATTTTCTATTTTTTTTTAATATTCAGAGAACTTTTATTCAATTTGTCAAGAGTTTGCGTCACCACTTTTCTATTCGTGGAATTTTATTAATAATTTTATTGCTTCATTTTCTCCAGTATTTTTCTAATTATTTCTCGTCATGTTGATACTAATTGAGTATACGGAATTTTTAAGTCCTGAAATAAAAAAATTGTTAATTGATTACATGGATAAGCAATTAAACCACTTCCTAGCACATTGACATAAGTATTTTTTCAGCAACACTTGGGTATTTTATTTTTTTTAATCATCAGTCTCTCTATTTCAGTAGATCTCTTCGTCGAAATAAGAAGGTCTTCTTAAACCCATCGTTATTAAGCTCAGTTGCTTTCTCTTCAACATTATGTAGGACTTTTTCTCATCTTTTCATGTCTCCTCCAATTAAGCTTCAAGTTTGTGACCATCAACCACAGGCAAAAGGCTCTTGCATGAAAACAGTATAGTGATTCCTAAAAAGCTAACGAGCAATAAAGTTGTCTTGGATTAGTTGGGATATATTCATTCATGTATTAAATAGACATGTTGAACTATATATGTGTGAAAGTAAGAAAGAGAAATAGGATCCCTAAGTGTCCTTGACACGAGGAATTCATTATCGCGAATGTATGATTGCCTTGAAACACTTAAACTTAGCAATCGTTACCCATTTTTTTCCCTTTCTTTTTATTGATGAAACATAGTGATGTTATTTTATTCCTCTTCCTGATATTTGTTGACATTTATTTTGAGGACTCATGGTTATTTATAAAGGTTGAATAAAAATTATCAAGGATTAATTGTCAATTATGTGTCAGTCTTTCAATCAATTTTATTTTTATAAAACCATCATAATTATTATAGGAAAAAAAAAAGTTTAATTAATGAATAATATTTTCATTACATTGGATTGGAATTAGTGATATTAAAAGAAATTTTTTTTTTATAAATAGAATGAAGTAAAAAGAATGTTGATTAATTAATTAATTAAGTAATAGAATGCAGTACTGTTATTAAATAATTGAATTATAACTGAGATGTTTTAGAAAAGATGAAATAAAAAACATTGAGTTTTACTTTCTACTTTTGACTCTAAGTGTAGATAATTAACGACGTGGAATAAATTCTTCTCTTGGGATAGAATGATCTACTTTCCTTCCAATCACTCAATAGATCAGTTCATGGTGGATTAGATCATTTAATCAGATATTATTATGACGATTAAAGTCATTAATATATGCTTTAATTCATAATTTTGATTATTGACTTTAATTTTCTTTTAATTATTCTCATCGTGTTGAGGAAATTTCTTCCTACACATAAACACAAAAAGTGATTATTGCAAATGCTAATTACAAGTACAAAAGTGCATAAATAATTTTTTTTTTTAATGTAGAAGTAATAATATGGTTAGCTGACAATAAAATTTGATTTATCATAGGAAATATTTAAAATTAATAAATATAATTCTTTTCTTAATTGAAGCCTTGATTAGACTTTTTTTATAATATTTATTTGATTATTTATCTGAAAATTGGAAAAATATAAAGCTTTCCTGAGTAATTAATTTTTTAAAAAAGATACTAGGGTATTTAAATGTAATTTAATTTAGTTTTGATTCTTTTTGTTAATAAAAATAATTTTTCTTTTGAAACAAATTGAATAAATATTCATTGTTTATTGTTTTGGAGAAAAGTTTATTGTAAAAATGATTTTAATTTGATGGTAATTTGGTGACACTACAGCTTGTTGATAAAAATTACTATAATGCATAGTAATGTATCTATCAATAATTAGAAAGTTTACTATGCAGTATAGTAATGTTTATTATCAGGCTGCAGTGTCACCAAATTACCATCAAATTTATGGTAATTTCTACAATAAATTTTTCTGTGTCCATATGAAAAAAAATATATTAAAATATAACTATTTAGTCAAATCTTGTATAATTAGATGTGAAAAAAAATATATAATTACCTGATTGACCACATGAATATATTTGATTATATTTCTATATATTCGATTATACACAATTTGGCCGAATAATATTATTTTAATATATTTCTAAAATAAAATATATTTTAAACAATACACTTTTTCCATGTAAATAAAAAATATATTTATTTAAATTAAAAAATATTTAGGAGAAAAAATTATACTTATTATAATTAAATTAGATACTAGTCACTTTTATAAAACTATATAATATATTATCAATATACATTTTAACTATCTGCATACAGATAGTTAAAAAAATTAAGACTAAAATAACAACCCGTTATTAAAATATAATTTATTTTATCGATATATATATTCAAAAAATTTGCTAAATGCAATTTAAAAAAAACAAAAAATCTTTTCTGATTTATTTGATGAAATTCATTCGTTAAAGACCATTTTCACGTTTGATAAAACAAATTTATCAGCTCATTACGATGTTTCAAGTTCAATGAAAAGAAAACTTGAACTCGTTTAATCGTCCCAAGTGCAGAATAGAATGAATTAATTCCACGTCTGTCTACTTCTCTTCGTTTTTCTTTGCCTACCGATTTCTCTTCCCTAGATTACGACGAGTGATTAATCGCTGTAGCATCGCAAATAGGGCCTCCGTTGAATTTCCTGGATAAATGCGTCGTCGCCGTCGCGAAACGAGATCGTAAATTTTATTATACACTTTACGTCCTTCTGGTGAAATACGCGTGTAATGCGCGTAAGTTGCACAGTCATTGTCGTCGTTATTTTGCCCTACCCTGTTCCTTGCTTTCCCGATTGTGACGTTTAACAGTTAGGACAATTGATACGTCAGTGAAACGGTAAATGTCCTCTTCGATTTGTATCCGTCGATTCGCAAACGCCGTGAGCCGTGATCCGTTGATGGATGACTTTCCTTTCCACCTTCCTTCACGTCCATATAACTCGTATGATTGTGAGATACAGCCTTATCGTTTTTATTCACTCATTTGCGGAAAAGATCGTTGACGGTCTGATGAATATTTTAAACATCAATTTTTGCATTCTAGCATTTTTATAATGTTTTTATTTATTTAGCTTTTAAACATAGTGGAAGAAAAGGTAAAATAGAACGCAGGGTACAAACGTATATTAATAAATTAATAAACAAATATCAATTAATTTTAATGGTTATATGAATTCAAAAGTTAATTAATAATAGTAAATAATAAAATCTTAAAAATAAATGGTAATAATTAATAATGAATAATAATAAAAAAATTGATAAAAAAAAAATCCAAAAAGTGCGATGAGTTTATTTTAATAAATTAATAATTATTATTTATTTACTTAAGTTTTTTCGACATTAAACTTCTGCTTTTTTTCTCCCTGGGAAAAATTTAAAGTAGGGCAAAAGAGGGTAGAGTGGAACTTTAGGGTGAAGTAAAACACTTAGAATAATTGATTTAATTATTAAAATGAGCTTAAAAAATTTGAAACAATTTTTATTTGTGAATTTTTGAAGTCCTGACTTGATTGGAATATGTTAATATTAATTAATTTATTAATATCCCACTTCACCCTCCTTTCCTCTAATTTTTTAACTAATTTATTATTGGATTAAATTTCATATTATAAATAACAATTACAATTGTAAATATTTTTTAAAATTTATGTTGAAAAAATTGAATGTAATAATATTTTTTAATATTGAATTGGTTTAAAAATTTTTCTAGACTATAAAAAAAATTTAATCTATTTAATAATTATTGGAGTAAAGTTGAATTAAATAATTACGTTAGTAAATCTATGATAAAAATTATTTATTAATGCTGAATAAGAATTATTTTTAAACAACTATCAATTGTGATAATTTTCTGAAAAAGTACAAATTTAATAGTAACATAATACCAGTAAATATTAGCATAAGATATTAAATTCGTCAACATTTGAGCACACGTACAAATACACACAGTACAATATCTTAAGCACTTTGATTAATCGATTCATTAAATGAGTAATGGGCTGTATCGGTTTTTTTTTATTAAATATTTTATAAACCTATATGTCTCACTAAATGTCATGTTATTAATTACTCATCAATTCGGGATGTCATTTGAGCGATAATATTGGCCCAAAAAATGTAAAATATAAAGTAGTAATTATTTTTTACAATCCAGCTGAGTCAACACATGAGTCACCAAAGTCATCATCAATTTAATAAGTACAAAAAGAAAAAAAAAAAACGGTCGAGATGAATAAAATGTCAATTTTTATTACACTCAACGGGTAAATTACTAGTTGACAGACGAAATCCGTGCGCCCGGGGGCGGCAAAAAGAAAGCCGCTTCACGTAAATTGCGCAAATGAAAAAGACTAACCGGTCTTTGGTTGTGTTTCTTAATTTGGTATCTGATCGGCGTATTCTTTGCCCCGGTTTTGGTTTAGTAATGACGTGGTAATGCGACGTATTTAATTTGTTGGCGAGGGAGACACCGTACCTGGCGTTATTGGATACATTGAGACTAGTATAGAGTACACATAGTAGGTTTACCCTAGAATAGAGAGAAAAAAAAACGACCAATCTACCATGTAGGTAGCTTAAGAACAAGTATTTATGATTTCCGAGAACTCATACGACGTATATCCTTGGGTATTTATTTACTCTAGATTCTTTTTTGCGGCGTTCTTTCGACCAACATATGATCGTTTCTTTACCACCCACGCGAACTCTCATCGAACTCACGATCCCGCGATCATGATATTTCCTTAAGTGCGTGGGGAGTATGTATTCAACTTCTTATATCTTGATTCACGCAATCGACATTTCACTGTGACATCTTTCATTTTCGTCTTTATTATATTTATGTTTGAGTACACCAAAGGACACTAGGGATATCGTAAAGTATGGCATGTGCTTGCACTGAGAGAAATTTTTAACTTAAATTATTTTTAAATAATCCAGAATTTGGAATAAAAAATATCTCTTGGGAGAATAAAAATTATTATTTT